CAGCTGGCTGGATTTGCTGTCATTGGAACTCAGCCAGGAAGGGAGCCAGCGATTGCAGCTCAGCTGTTTCTTAAACATTGGACCCAGTTCTGAACAAAGAGTGCACTGTCCTCAGACCCAGTCGGCCCTGCCCTAGGGAGGAAGCATGTCTAATGGGTGGAGCCCTGGGTTCTCTCATTGAACCCTTGGATGAGCTGGAATGAGCTCCCTGCCCCCTTGGTGCCTCAGTTTCCCCATCTGTAAAAGGGAGCAGTGGCAGTGACCTGCCTGTGTAAATGCCAGGAGGTGTATGAATGAAAAGGCCTGCATGTGCAGATATTACTGTGTTGTCATTAAGCACTCGACAAGCCCTCATGCTTCCTCCCTCACTTGTTCTGGTCTCTAAACTAACGGCCAAGACTCCTGGCCTCACTTTCTGAGTTACAGGATCTGCTCTTCATGTGCACTGAAGAGTCGGTGCAGTGGTGCCCAAGCATTACTCCCCCCACCCACGGCCAAAAGGCCTGCATGTGCAGATATTACTGTGTTGTCATTAAGCACTCGACAAGCCCTCATGCTTCCTCCCTCACTTGTTCTGGTCTCTAAACTAACGGCCAAGACTCCTGGCCTCACTTTCTGAGTTACAGGATCTGCTCTTCATGTGCACTGAAGAGTCGGTGCAGTGGTGCCCAAGCATTACTCCCCCCACCCACGGCCCCGAGCCCCTACCCACAAGAAAGTGGGGCATGGTCCCGCTGTGGGGGGAACTCCCCGGCCCAGACACCCCCCCGGTGCACTGGCTGGGGAGAGCAACTGCGTCCCTCTCCCATTGCCCAGTGCCCACCTGCCCTCGAGGGCTTCCCTGCCCCCGGCCCTGGGGCAGAGTCCTGGTAACCCCGGCACGGCTGGGCCCCGGGCCTGCACCCCAATCCTTGGCTGGGCCCCTCCCCCTGCGCTTCCCCCCCACTCCGACCCCTTGTAGGTAGAGCATCTGTAGGTAGAGCACAGGTGGGCCTGTGCCCACATCTCCAGGCCAGCCGGCGCAGGGCCACTGGGGTGCCTGGAGCTGTCCTCTGTGGCCATGGAGATGATGGCCAAAGCACTCTGCAATGGTTAGGAAATGGTACACACAATATTGAGAAAGCTCATTACGTGGGGCCCTGGTCCCTGAAAAAAAGTCAGACTCCAAAACCAAGCCAGGCCCCTCCCTTTCTTCATTTTCTTTTTCCTACTTGTAATCTAGAAGGAGGGTGAAGAAAAGAGAAGGGCAAATGGGCGGGGCAGGAAGAGAAGGTCCCCGGGGCCCCCGAAAGGAAGCTGAGCACAGTGCCCCACTAACTGTACATCCGCCACTGGGGATGCTCCCAGCAGCTGGTCTGACTTGCGGTCACACAATCGCCCATATGACAGTTCATGGTGCCAGCTAGCAGCCCCGGCCACCTGGCTGAGTGGGCAGCACTAGGCCTGGCCTGGCAAAGCAATTCAATAGTCTGCATTGACGGCCTTCTGGCCTAACGGCAGCATGCAGCCCGCTCCGGGTAGGGGATCCGTGAGGCCCCAGCCCAGGACCCTAGACGTGACGGGTGAGCTGAGCACGGGGCCAACGGGGAAACGCGCGGTCGCTGCCTCGCATCCCGGCAGCACTACTGGCCCCAAGTCCTGTTACCCTGGGCTACTTCCTACTGGGGACTTGGCTCTCAATTGCACAGGTGAGGGGCCCTTCTTCCAGTCTTTCCCTGGCATCTTCCATCTCTCAGGGCAGGCCTGCGGGCTCAACACCCTGGGAGGGTTGGCTGCCTCCTTCCCTGGTCCAGCCCCAGCTGAGCCTGGCCCTGCAATCTTGCCTTGCTGCTAGGAGGGGAGTCGATGTTCACCGTATCCACGGGGCCAGGACAAGAAGCAATGGGCTTGCATTGCAGCAAGGGAGATTAGTGACGCTACGGAAACACTGTGGGTTGGGCTAAGCGCTGGAACAAATTGCTTAATGTTACCAAATGTGGGATCTTGGGAACAAGTTGGTCAAACACCTGCCAGGGATGGTCTAGACCAGCCGTTCCCAGCCTTTTCCAGATGGGGACCCATTTTGACAATTCAGGCGACCCAGGGCAATTCAGAAAGTGTGTGACTGGCTCCTTAAGAGCCACCTGGGGAGACACCTGGCGACCCTTTGGAAATGGAATGGCGACCCAGATTTGGGTCCCGACCCCTGGGCTGGGCAGCCCTGCTCTAGATAGTCCTGCCTTAGTGCAGGGGGCTGGCCTAGGCACCCCGCCCATTTCATCAAGCTGACTGGGGTTACTCCAGAGCTGCAGCCGCATATGGTCTCCCGTGCAGTGTGGCCCTTTATACAGCTCCGTCTGGAATTGCACCAGATGTTTCTGCCCATCTGCCAGGTGCTGATGAGCACACCGTGGGTTGAGTGTCCCCTTGCCAAGAGCCTCGCACAGCCCCCCCCCGTCTAGCGGCGGGTTTCTGGCCCGCCGGGCTGGGGGTGTTACTCAGTTGCGAAGCAGCAGTGTTTCAGCAGCGCCTCTGGCAATCAATCGCGAGAGGAAATTGATTATCTGTGTGAAGCGGGGATTAAAAATAGAAGCCAGCCCCCACGACTGTTTTGACTAAGTCCCAGCTAAGAAGCGATGAGTGAAAGGCCGTGATTTTGCTGCAGCAGCGATTCCGAGCAGGGGGGATTAAGGAAGCCAGGACTGAGTGAGCGGCAGGGAGTGATTAGTACGTTTTTAGATAGCAGCGTCTTATCTTCTATCTGAAACAGGCCATGCAGCTGCCAGGCGTATGTGAGCTCTGCAGCCGTAACCCCCGCTGGGAGCCTGGCTCTGAGCCCCAGGTTAGCCCAGCTGGGGTGTGGGCTGCCCGGCCGTGACTCCCCTGGGCCTGCACTACCAGGTGTGTGTTGCTGGGATTGCTGCCAGCACAGGCCAGGTAGCTTTGGGCTACAGTGAGCTGAGCCAGCCTCCAGTTCCTGCCAGGGAGTTGAGGAGGGGCTAGCAGGAAGCACTGGAAGGGGTCTCATCACTCGCTGCAGAGGGAGCCGGTTACCAGCCTTCAGTGTGTGGGTGCCGTGAGTTCACAGGGTCATTCTGCCCCAGTTGGTGGCTCAGGGACAGCCAGAGCGTGGGGTTGTGTCTGTGGCCATTGTGGCAAGTAGCCACTGATGGACCTGTCCTATATTAACTTAGCTAGCTCTTTTATTAACCCAGTGATAGTCTGGCCTTCACAACATCTCCTGGCAATGAGTCACACAGGTTACCTGTGTGTTGTATGACAGGACTTCCTTCCATCGGTTAAAAACCTGCTGGGTCATGTCATCATGTGGCCTCTAGTTTTTGTCTGATGTCGCTTGTAAACAATGCTCCCCTATTCCCTTCCTCCGTCCCATTCATGATTGCATAAGTCTTTGTCAGACCTGCCCCCCACCGTCTTTGATTGCCTGTGTCCTAGACAAAGTGCAAGGTCAGTCTTTGCACCGTCCATAGGCATTCACTTCAAAACCAACAAATAGTCCTGCAGCACCATAGAGACGAACAAACCGTGTCCATGGTCCCAGGAGCTTTCATGGGCACCACCCACTTCTTCCGATGCAAATAGGGATTCGGTTTGGGAATCGGTATTGTGAACTGGTAAAGGTTTTCCTACTAAAAGGCACAGGACGCTCTTGGAAGGGATACACTGCCCAGCAGGTGTTTGTAGGCCACCACGGGGTACTACATGGCTGGTACCAGTCACCACAGTTCATTATGTGCCAGTGCTGCAGTTTTGCTGCGTGTCTTTTACAAACAAATGGGGTCAGTGGACTGACAAGCAATGTGCTGTGCTGGACCGACACCTGGTGAAAGAGAGACGCTTTCAAGCTTACGTGGAGCTCTTCTATCGCCATCAAACAGTGGTCCAATTACAGAGCTGCCCTCCGTTAAAAGTATTTGCGCAAGAGAGCGTCTATACTGGCATGTGCCTTTGCGCAAAAGATTTGCTTTTGCGCAAAAGCATCCGTGCCAGTGTAGACGCTCTCTTGCGCAAGAAAGATCCGATGGCCATTTTAGCCATTGGGCTTTCTTGCGCAATAAATTAACGTGGCTGTCTTAATTGGCCCTCTTGCGCAAGAATACTTGCGCAAGAGGGCTTACCCCTGAGTGGGAGCGTCAGAGTATTTGTGCAAGAACCACTGAGTTTGTACATTACAAAGTCAGTGTTCTTGCACAAATACTCGCGGCCAGTGTAGACAGGCGGCAAGATGTTGCGCAAAAGCGGTCGCTTTTCCGCAAAATCATGCCAGTCTAGATGCAGCCAGGGAGTGCTTTCCCAAGAGAAACAAGCATTTGGGCCCGTAAAACAGGTGTTTTAAATTAAATCTTTTATTGAGTTTCTGCTCCTGTAGCATGTGGGACATGTAGACATTTACCATGCAAGGTCTCGTGAGAAGTTAGGTTTTTGTGCTTGACCAAACAGTCTCCCTTTCACTCAGCAAAGACAACCAGGTCAGTCTAGAACATTCAGACCAGTCAGCCAGGATGCACAGGAGGGGTTGGTACATGGTGTGACATTTCGGGAAACTGAGGCTGAGCTGGAAATTGTGATTGCTGGGCTCAGGTGCTTCCTACCCTGACTGAACATACATGTACATTGATGATTGGAGAGGAAGGGAATAGTTGCCTAAAACTGTTTAATATCAGTGAACCAAGCAACACTAAAGTATTTGCCAACTTAGAGAACAGAAATCCAAGATGAAGTCTCAGAAGATCCATTTGCTGATAGATACCAGATGACATTGTGGGTTGTGCACTGAGATGTGGCAACTTCATATGCTGGACCTTGCAGCCAGTGGAATTAGCAGCTCTTCACTATTCACAACATAGACTTCCCTGGGTTTGAGATTTTAGACACTTTTCTTATTAAACAGTCACTAACAACTCATGGACAAATTTAAAGTAGGGCTGTCAATCAATCAGTTAACCCAAGAGATTAATGCAAAACAAAGTAACTAAATTAAAATGTTTGTTATTAATTACAGTTTTAATTGCAATGTTAAATTGGCATCTATTGTTTAAATTTATTATAAATATTTTTGACATTTTTCTACATTTTCAAATATATTGGTGTCAATTACAATACAGAATACAAAGTGTACAGTGCTCCTTTTATATTACATTACAAATATTTGCCCTGAAAAAAAAGGAACAAAATAGTATTTCAGTTCACTTCATACAAGTATTGTAGTGTAATCTCTCTATGGTGGAAGTGCAATTTACAAATATAGATTTTTTACATAACTGTACTGAAAAACAAAACAAGGTAAAACTTTAGAGCCTATGAGTCCACACAGTCCTACTTCTTGTTCAGCCAATCACTCCGACAAACAAGTTTGTTTTCACTTATGGGATATAATGCTGCCTGCTTCTTCTTTACAGTTGCACCTGAAAGTGAGAACAGGCACCACGTGGCACTGCTGTAGCCAACGTTGCAAAATATTTATGTGCCAGATAAGTGTGCCCATTTCTGCTTCCACCATCATTCCCGAGAACATGCTTCCAGACTGAATTTCAATTGGCATTCTATTATTGTTTAACAGTGCAATTCACTTGCCATTAAACACAACTTTTTACAAATCTCACAATTAACTGCAATTTTTAAAATTGTTTGACAGCCTTCGATTAAAGCTTTTTTAATATAAAACACTTGTGTTGATATTTTTGTGCTTCCCTCTACTCTCTCTCACGCTGTACTACCATGACCCTTTATGAAGCAGATCTAGTGTTCATGCAGGACTTTCACCTATTCCCATAACCCATTTCCCACCTCACATCAGAACCCTCCTTGTGGGAAAACAGTCCTCTTCACTCCACAACAGTCAAGTGATGTCACAGGGGAATGAGCAGCAGGAGCAGACAGGATCTTAAGTAACTATATTCATGCAAATAGGCCTAGGGAGACTACAAATACAGAAAATGGGCCGTTTTCCCTGAGGAATCAACAAATCTTTAATACATCACAGAAGGAAGTTGGGGTACACACGGCACAGACTTTGAAAGGCTCATGAACATTTCCACACAAAGAAGAAACCTGTAAACATGTGGCTGAATTCAGACTGATCACAACAATAAAGAGCGGGTCACATGAAATTTAATCAGTGCTCCTATTTATACTGTTCCAATCAGAAAATGTAGCCGCATGCTTCTTCCCATGCCTCTTCCCCCGGGCATGTCATCGGTGCTTGTAGCAGCTCTGCTATTGGTCCAACATTTTACAGCCCAAGCTTCCAGCTCACGTTTACGTTTCGTTCCATCTTTCTCCTCTGGCAGCCGATCCATAAAACGCAAGCCACAAACATCGTAACTTTGGGAGACATAACAGACCAAGACAAATTTGACGACAAAGTGTTTCTTCTGCCTCTGCCTCCACTGGAACAGCGGGGCCCGGAGCATCTCGCTGCTGCCAAGATGTTCAGACTGGAGGACAAGTGCAAAAGAACTTTGTTGAGTCCCATTCTAGTTCCCTGCTTTGGTGGTTCAGGGTGTGGGAGGTGGCTTAGGAGAGGGACATGAGCCTTGGCTGTCGAAGCTCGCTGCTCGGCCTTGCCACTGATGGGAGAGAAAAGCAGCACGTTATTCTCAGTAACCGCTCCCCCGTCCCTTGTCACAACCTCTGTCTTACTCCCCGCCGCTCATCTGCTGCACAAGGGGATTTAGTTAACCCCTGATTCCACCACTTGGTCATCAGCACCTCCCCGGTGGCAGCGACACCCGCCCGCCTGGCACCACCTATGGAGGGCTGCCCATGCGTGTTATTGCTTTCACAACCCCCAGGCCCATGCACCTTAGCCTGAGAAAGTTTGCCCTCCATTTGCCCTCCCTTTGTTTCCTGCAACAACTTTTTTTTTAACATTGATCTATTGCAAAGTGAATTAAATCATTGAAGTAACAACAGATAATGTGACTCCAAAGGACCCAGTGCCCTAGTGCCAGAGCCATTTTTCAAACTGAAAATCAGATCAGACCGGGGATGGATGGACGGGTTAGGAAGCAGTAAATGCTTCATTGTCAGGGCTTCAGACCATCAATTATTAGCAATTTGTCTTGGAGCTATTCTTGTTGTTTAAAACCAATATTGCTTGCAGTCTTGCCAGTCTCTCTCTCTCTCTCTCTCTCTCTCTCTCTCGGATTTTCTTGCATGCAAATGACAAACTACATGCATCTCCCAAAGACTGCAGGGAACGCGGTATTTCCCATTGCCCCTTCTATCTCCTGTGGCAGTGCTGGCCACCCCCAAACCAGCGCAGATCTTTGCATGCAAGTATCAGTGCACAGTGTGCATGAAGTTCACATAACAGAGAAAATTCACCAGCTGATTTGCACTGAAGTGAACGAATCCAGCCCATAGTCACATGCTGACTGGCTCTGCCACAGGCTTTGCCTGTTCCAGTCCAAAGTGCAGTAGGAATGGAGACCAATGCTCTCAACCATCACCCATGCACATGAGTCCCTTGCACTTAATACCCCCTTTGCACAGATATAAATGGTGCTGTGCGGTGGTGGAAGGCAGTGGCTTGTCGGGCCTTTCACCAGCAATGAAAGTAACTTAAAATTCCTTACCGGTGCTGTCCTATTGCAACCCAGCGCCAGCCGGCTCTTTGAGCAGCTCCCTGCAGGCTTTTGCCACAGCTGAGCCAGCTCTTGGGCACCCCCGCGTCCCATCACCTTGGCCTTTCCCCCTCACTCGCTACCCTGGAGTCCCTGTCCCGTCCACACGCAGTCCCCTCCTGCACTCGGATGGCAGGTCAGAGCTATGGGCTCTGTGTGGGGCGGCTGGCTTCAGAGATCCCCTTTCCGACACCCTCCGAACACACTTGACGGCCTCCAAACATTCTCCTTCAGTCTTTCCCTGTTTTGCACTTCAGAAATGTGGCTGTGGGGCCCAGCCCCTCAGTCTTGGGGCCTGCTGGTGACCAACCAGAGAGAGATGCTTACAAATCCTGCCTCCATGCAAGTGTCATTAATACTAAACCCAGAGGGCTGCACGCAGGACCCCAGTGCTGCCTAAGCTAGCTCCGTGCATGTGGGAGCATCTCACTCCCCACGGGCTCTGCGGTGGGCACAGTCCAGCTGCCCAAGAGGCTCTGTTCTGCCTGGCCGGACTGAGAGGTCTCCAGCCAATGCTGAGCAGGTCACAGGGGAAGGCAGCTGGCCATTGCCCTTCCTGGCTCGGCTCTGCCGTCACACTCCCACGAATGGAGAGCTGCCGCTACGCTAGCAGCAGACCTGCTTTCATGGCCTAGCTGGACAAATATCCATGCTGGGAAGGCCGGGAGAAAACCGGGGGGTTAAGGGTTATTGTATACTCCTCCTCCAAGAGGGTGGGCACGGTGTGTTTCCAAAGCAACCCACTACACAGCGGAGTGCACAGTGGAAGTACTGCCTGCGCAGAGGACTCAGCCTGGGCTCTCGGCTCTAGGGTACCTTATGGCAAGAAAACCATTCAGCAGCGCTGCTGCCAATTCTGCTTGGCTGCTCGCTGCAACCTAACACTCCAGATGAAAGCTCAGTGGCAGAGCGACCTACAGGAACGAGGGGACAGCAGACATGACTCCGGAAATAGGGTCTCCGTGGAGCTGAGGATGCGCCAGTGAAGCTTGGCTCCTGGTCTTACAATAGTAATGGTATCCGTTCCTCACAGTGCAGGAAGCCCTAGTGAGGCCAGGGTCAAGTGACCTACGAATCCTGAGAACCCTCCAGGTATCTTCCCTCTCCCAGGGCAGAGAAGTGAGCCGTTCCTGTCCGAACAACAGCAAGGGAAGCATCAGTCACTGCAGGGCCAGACAGACTCAAAAGCCTGGAGAAGCCTGGCTTTGCCAATCTTTAAAGATGAGCCGTTATCCTTCATTATGGCCTTAAGCCTGCTTCGGGCCAAGGTCATCACTTTTCTCGGGAGAAATTGTAAACAAATAAACGCCCAAGAGCTGAATGTTGAAACTGCCTGGCCTTGTTCGAAGCACGTTTTATTCTGGGCTGGTGATGTTATTTGGTGCTCCCCGAGAGCCCCATCTCCACTTTCCACTCTTCCCTTTAATGTTCATACAAAGACACTGATTTTCAAAACTGCTTCCTGCAAACAGGGTCTTTCAGTGCCGTGGCTGACTGACACGCTGAAGTATTCTGAGGGCCGGAAAGGAATGGGAATGGCTGATGCTCCTTAGTACTGTGATGAATTCATTGATTTCAAGCAAGGTCCTTCCTAGCAGGGAAAATCTCTTTCCGGTTCTTTAGTTGATGTCTGTGATCTTATTCAAAGAGCAAAGTGTGACAAGAACAGAGATTTCTGCTCCGCTCCCTAGACAAGGGCCGGACGGGTGTGGATTAGAAATGTGCAACAATTAGCAAGAAACTCCACATTGCCCAGGAAAAGGTGACCGCTTCCGTTTACACATGTGCAGTCTAGGTGGGCAGTAAGGGGAGCCCTGTGCGCAGAGGAGGGAGGACAGGCGTAAGAACCAAAGGGGACAAAGCACATCAGGCTCACACCATTTTCTGTTTTGCACTTCAGATCACTTAAAACCCACCAGAATTCAACCGGGTTCCCTGGCTTTTGACTAAGACCCAAGGCCGCCTGAGAGAGGTTGGTCCCCACAGCAATGCACAGTAAACTGCCCACCCCAGGGCAGGGGGGAGCCGCAGCTGCTTATTGTGACAAGTTACCCAGCCCAGGTGCTTTCACCAAAGGCTCTTACGATGCAGGTGAGGCGGCCGAGGACCGTGACAGCTGAGACAAGAATTCCAAACTGCCACCCGGGCCTGTCTTGAGAAGTGGGACCAGAGATCCGAGCCCTCATGGTGAGAACGGAGGCACTCAGCTCCCTTGCTGGAAAGCTCAGCTGCCCACCGGGGATCTGACAAGACTCGCCTGCTGGAAGCCCTGGGAGCAGGGTACCTTGTATTTGTCGCTTCTGTGAGCCGGGGCACTGAGCATGGCAGCGGGTGATGCCCAAGCCCACACAACCGACCTTTAAGGAGCGGGAGGAAGGGGATGCACACGGATGAAACGGCCGCTAGCGGATAACAACTTGCCACCAGAATTCAAGGCATTTTCTAGAGTTTCACCCCCTTATCACACTGGGATCGTGTCCTTTTGACCTCCCAAACACCCTCAGTAGGAAAGCGATTGGCGGGCCAGCAGCGGGGGATGCTCTAGAGGGAGATTAAGCAAAGGTGCCTTGACCCTAAACTCTTACAGGATTGCATCTATATTTACTGCAACAGATCAATCCCAGTTCCGCAGTCACTGCTGCTGGAGACTCTGGAAAGCTTTTGGCTGGGTTGTGCTACCTGGGTTTAGATGTTTTGCTCCTCTCCACAAGAGGTGCAGAAAGGCGGGCTGAACAACAGATCCATACATACCGGGGCCATTTGCTTGCTAGCTCTGTGCAGTGGGTTGTGGCAGGAACACAGGACTCGATGCTGGGCTTTTCTAATTGTTCCCCCGGTCTGCTCAGCATAGAGTGGAATGATGCATTTGATTTTTGTGTGGCCCAGCAGTGGGTGGTGATTTTCATTTTGCAGCCCATTCATCTTCAGTGTATTGTGCCTGTTTCCTTGAATTTCCTTGTAAATAGCTGAAGCTTTCCTTGTTTGTTACCAAAAATGTTATAGGAACTGAGCTTAGAAACTGCAACCGGGGTCTTAAGTAGAATGGAATGAAATCCTGGAGACTACCAAGTGGAGAAATGATTCTCTCCTGCATCTGGAGCCACTGATCCTGCAAAGACTAAGATTCCTGATTAATGGATCACTGAATGCTGCGTATTTAGGTTTCAAAGGGGACACTGATTCAGGCCACTGTATCTGGCCTCCAGCGGAGCTCAACCCTGCCCAGGAGCAGCCTGAGGCCGGCTGTGGCAGCTGGTGCCTCAGGCGGAAGGTGCGATCGTGACGTCATCATCGGGTGCCAGGGCCAGCGGTGCCCTAGGCAACTGCCTAGTTTGCCTAGGCTCATGGGCCACCCCTGCATGTAAGAACCACCTAAAAGCATAAACCCTGCCACTTCAGAGAGCAGCACGCGCCTTGTGCTGCACCTCGCCACTAGGCAGCGCTGCCCAGGAGGGGATGCTGTCCTGGCTGTGGCCGTGGCGGGGATGTTATTGTCTTGAGTGTCTTAGCTGGCACAGCTATGAATGGTGCTTTGATTATCGTCACTGACGTGCCATTGATGTGCCTGGTGTTGGGCAGGTCAACATCCACACCTGTGCCCCCAGGGACTTACCAACCAAATTAGACAGCTGGCAAAGGAGAGCAGGCGGCTGCGTGAGAAGGGCAGGAAATGGAGAGTGAGGGAGAGGGAAAGCTTGTGCTTGGCCAGGAAGTTGTCCAGCCTTTGAAGTCCAGTGACCGCTGAGCGGAAGGAAGATGCAGGGAAAGGCTGTTGTGAGCTGTTTGGAGCAGTTACACTTGCTCTGTTTATGCTCAGAAAGGCTTGAGGATGAGTCAACAGAAAACTCGTTTAGGGGCACAAATTAAGAACAGAACCATGCGTGAGCCTGGGGCTGTTTACTCTGGCTCACAGCGACGATGTTGCCTTTCCCGACTGTTCTCTCTCCGGATACAGAAAGAGCCCACAAAACCAAACCGCTGTGCGAATGCCGTCCCCTTCCGCTCCTGCTCGCCAGCCCCCGCAAGCGTTTCAAGCCAGAGCAGCGAGGCCCCCTCCCGCCAAGGCTCTGCTCAGCCAGTCGCACACGCCCCAGGTGCGACTAGCAGCTTTTTGCACAAGCTCAGCCGTGTGCGGCACACGCAGGCGAGGGGAGCCAGCCACCTCACGCACCTCCTTGAAGGATTTCTTCACCTCCACCAGCGGGTGCCAGTGTGCGATGGGCTTGCGAGGGTAGGCCAGCATCTCGTTCCAGTGGTCTCGGCCCAGGCCCTCAGCATTGAGCCCCACGCGGCAGACGCCAATGATCTCGTTGTGACCCACTCTGAAAGGCAACGGAAATGGCGTAAGCACTTGGCTGGAAAGGGCACGGGCACGTCGCCTGTACAGGCCCACAGCCCGCACGGCCTGGGAATCGCCTCTGGGCTGCTCAGACAACGTCTGCCGGTCCCTTGCGACGGGCACGGTGCCCAGCACAGCGGGGCCCCGATCGCAGCTGGGCCTCGGGGAGCTACCAAACCAGAAATGAGCGTCGAGCTGACGGCTTAGCCATGCACGGGTCTCTTGGGATTCTGTCTGCAGGCTGACCCCAGACAAGGGCAACCGGCAGGATCCCATGCAACCACTGAGCACTTGGGAGGCCACCCAGGAGAGTCAGGTGCCACCCAGACAATTAACAGAGCACCCCGAGCCGGAGCAGGCGTTTCTCCTGGTGGTGCTCACCTGCACAGGCCTCAGTGCACACAACAAAATGTATTCTGCACATGGCTGGGAAAATGTAGCGGGACCATTGCACTGGGCGTGTGTTCTCAGAACCGAGGAGGAGAATAAGTGCTAGGGTCGCTAATGAGCGGATCTTCAGATGCCGACTGCTCCACTTTGGGGGAGCGGTTTGCCCGCGAACAGGGACGGTGACTCAGAGGAAATGCAGCTACAGGGTATAATTCTGCTCATTCAAGGAGAAAATGACTTAAAAGCAAAGGGTCAGGGTTACCGTGCTCATGTTTCAAGCAGCATAATTACCCACAGCATTAAATATACAAGCCACTTTGCAATGCATCGCTACAGGGCTCATGCTGACTCAAACCAGGTGTGCAATCCAGGCAGGAATACCAAGTGATTTGGAACTGGATGGGATGTTCATGTCTTTTGCTCTCCAGCGCCCACCTACCTATCATAATCCATGACAGAGATAAGCAGGCTGACTTGATCCATGTTCTCCGGAGGAATGTCAAATATTATCGCCTCATTGTAGGTAGGATTAAGAGTGTTTTTCTTAATGGTGGTTTTCTTCTTTTTCAGCCTCCGCCCATCACAGAGCAGAGACACCTTCACATATGGATCTGAGGAAGAAGGGAAGAGAAAAACTTACTGTTCATGGAGGATCATTTCATCCTAACAGCAGGCAAATACAATGCGTAACACCACCTCTGGGAATGTCTGTAAGAGGCCATTCCCCTCGGCTAGTTAATTAAGAAACTCCATCCACCCTTTTCTTTTGTCTGCAAATATTCCAATCCCTGTCCAACAGCAGCATCTGAAGGCTCAGTAACAGGGGTGAGCAGCAATTGGAGATTAAATAAGAGTATAGGGGGTGTTGGTTGGTTGGTTTTTTTTGTTTGTTTGTTTTTTGCTGCAAAAAGAAAATGCATTGAAACCCATATACCACAGGATGCAGGAATGGCAGAGACAAGAACCCCATTTGAATTTCCCTGCAATAATATCAGACATTTACCTGAGAGAACTCCACCTGCCATGGCCAAGGAGAAGAGGGAAGCCAACTGAACTGTTCTCTTCACCAGCTCACCGCTGGGAAGTGAATGTGCAATAACCCAGCACACATGGGCTGTCTCTAGACTGGCCAGTTTTTCTGGAAAATCAGCCGCTTTCCCGGAAAACCTTGCCAGCTGTCTACACTGGCCGCTTGAATTTCCGCAAAAGCACTGACTTCCTACTGTAAGAAATCAGTGCTTCTTGCGGAAATACTATGCTGCTCCCATTCGGGCAAAAGTCCCTTTTGCGCAAAGCATTTCCGGAAAATCATGCCAATCTAGACGCAGCCCTGGGGCCCTCAGGGGTTGAAACTGGGGCCTTCAGCACCGAAGCAAAGTTTTCTACCGCTTCAATTAAAGGAGGAACTCCATGAAGCTGGCAGAAGAAGGAGACTGCTAGCCTGTAGTGGCCCAACGAATAGAATGGGACCCAGCACACGTTTTGCTGGTGCGTTGCATATGGTGTGTAACAGGAACGACTCATTTCTCTGGTACAAATAGACAATTCAGCTGCCATCTGTATCACTTCAGCATGACGGTCAGGCTCCTCAGGAGACTTTTTCAGGTAGCAGAATCCTCCCTTGTACGGTTTCCCATTAGGTTTCACCCTGCCCTTGCCTTGATACATCAGACTGTAAGTTACCCCAGGAAGGTGCCATGCGCCCCCCACAGACTCCTCGCTCTATTTCAAAGCAGAGGGAAGGTTCCACCGAACAAGCCAGCCCTGGCCACTTTGCACCTTCGCCCCAAAGCTTTCAATTCCTGTTTAGTTTTTGTCATTTTGTGTTGTCAGTTCTTTGGGGAAGTCACCTGGTCCTCCTACGAGTTTGCCCAGATGATGGAGCTGAACTGAGTCTGCAAATGCAAATGAATCTGCAAATCTGGCAGCCCCCAAACATTTTCTGAAACTAAACGACAACTTCAGCCCTTGAAGAACAGAGTAAAAGGTTAACAGCCACCTTTACAGAGCTCTCTTGCTGCCATGGCTTTCTCACTCTCAAAGCAGGCACGGAGCATGCAGTCTGATTAGATAAAGCAGCCTTGTATCTTAACCAAAAGAGGTTCTATTTCTAGGAGCATCCTCTGGGAAGGTTTCTGTGTGACAAGTCTGCATGTTGAGGAAATAAACGGTCGGCACATCAGAGGCCTGACAGCAAGAAGTGGAAAAAATAATGGCCACAATGGCATGTTACACGAGCTGCAGTTTTTTCCTGCAAAGAATTCTGAATCCAGAGCATCTCTAAACAGTCTGAGAGCAGAGCAAGGCAATCGCTTCTCTGTCCACTTTGTGGACACACTGGAGAACTGGTCTGAGGTAAACAGGATGAAGTTTACTAAGGACAAATGCAAAGTGCTCCACTTAAGAAGGAACAATCAGTTTCACACACACAGAATGGGAAGTGACTGTCTAGGAAGGAGTACGGCAGAAAGGGATCTAGGGGTCAGAGTGGACCTCAAGCTAAATAGGAGTCAGCAGTGTGATGCTGTTGCAAAAAAAGCAAACATGATACTGGGATACATTAACAGGAGAGTTGTGAGCAAGACACGAGAAGTCATTCTTCCGCTCTACTCTGCGCTGGTTAGGCCTCAGTTGGAGTATTGTGTCCAGTTCTGGGCACCGCATTTCAAGAAAGATGTGGAGAAATTGGAGAGGGTCCAGAGAAGAGCAACAAGAATGATGAAAGGTCCAGAGAACATGGCTTATGAAGCCAGGCTGAAAGAACTGGGCTTGTTTAGCTTGGAAAGGAGAAGGCTGAGAGGGGACATGACAGCAGTTTTCAAGTCTCTGAAAGGGTGTCACAAGGAGGAGGGAGAAAACTTGTTCTCCTTGGCCTCAGAGGATAGAACAAGAAGCAATGGGCTTAAACTGCAGCAAGGGAGGTTTAGGTTGGACATTAGGGAAAACTTCCTGCCAGCCAGGGCGATTAAAAGCCCCTTTTCTGGGTGTGAGAGGGCAGGGGAAAGAAGAGGAGGTCGAGAAGCCGGGGCTGGTTTTGGCAGGGTGCCTCTATCTTATGAGCACAGTTCAGCTGCTGTGGAAATCTCGAGGCGCTGGAGTAAACAAGCAGCGTCTTATTGCAGAGCTACTAAGCTGCCTTCCCCCAGAAACTGGGATTGTCAGGCATTTCGACCTGGGGTAAGTTCCATCTGAGCACAAGTCCGGCTCAGAGATCTCTTCAGTTAGCATTACCATTTATGAAAAGCTCTGGCAGCAGAATTCAGGTACTTTCATGTAGACCTTTGGCTAAGAAACTGGCTTTCCCGTTGAACGCGTTTGTGCAGGCGAGTGCCAGCACGGTTCGGGTTTTGGAACCGTGAACGTACTAACCCGTGCTAGGCGATCAAACTCTCTTCCCCCCCGGGTCACACACAGGTGCTCATCATTGGGTCCACCAGCTACATTCGGCCCTTGCTGCCTGCCCCGTCCCCTGTGGCCTGGGAGTGCTGAGAAGCTGGGGGCACGAAGGGAGGTGCCCAAGCTCCAATCCACCAGCCCCCTGCTGTTGTAAGAGGCGCTGCAGGAGGGTGTGTCCAGCTGAGAAGAGGACCCGTGCATGCCTCCCCACACTCCTGGGGGCGTGGAATGTGGCTCTGAGTAGGGTCGAGCTTCCCAGATTAGTTCTATTATAAAGCTTTGTGAGTGCAGCCCCACACCTCTGTGTGCACTCCCCTTGTCAGGACACCTCAGCACCAACGCCAACTCGCCCAGCCTCCGGGCACAGGCACACCCGGAGCAAACCCCCACGTACCTGAGTAGCCAGTAATGTCCATCGCTTTAAGATTCCTGCATTTAATGACGGTTAAGGTGAGGCGACCTGCAGTTGGCAAATAGCAAAGGGAAAACATGATCTCCCCCAGGTCCACGCTTTCCTTTAACAAAAGAGGAGACAGAGCGTTAGAGGTGAGTAAGAGCCAGCCAAGGCCCTGCGCTGCCGCTCTTACCCCCTTTTCCTCTGACTGCAGAACTGCTTCACTTCTCGCTCACGCACCCAAAGCGCGCGGGGGATGCAGTCTAAATGCTAGCGCTGCGCATGGCTCCCACCGAAAGGCCCCTGTGCACCTGGCTTGCGCGCTGGGGGGAGCCGGCATGGCTTCCAAACCCGAATTCCGCACATAGTCCCTGGTCAGTCCAGCGGTCTTGTGAAAACCAGTCAGCTTCCCGCTCAAACACCTGCCCCGCGCCCCGTTTCTCTGCCCCCTGGGGTGATGGACAAGACAGACGCCCTGTGGGTGAACATCAGTGTTTCGACAGACGGGCCTTGTTGGGTAGCGGGCAGAGACTTGGGGCGTTACGCTGAGCCCTGGACAAAGGCTCTTCCTCAGCTCAGCCTGCTTCCCTCCTTTGTTCTGTTTTACTGCTGGCTACAAAAGGGTCCCCTCCGCCCCGCCAACACACACACACGCTGCTCAGACCCTTCCACTGGTTTTTTAGTCTCAACAGTGAGCCCGCTCCTCTTACTGGAGTAAATACCTGCCCAGATGTTGCTTTCCCACAGCCATTTGAACAACTTCCTCTAGGTGGCGACGGAACCTCTCCCTTTTGTCAGACACAGCCTCACATCTGCCCTGCCGCCTCATTAAATCATTAATGGCGTGTAATGAGGCAGGAATCTCTGGACTCCCACAGCTGGGGGGGGGGGGGGAGCCGTCACTGTTCTCCATGAATCCTTGCAAATTGGATTGTGTCTAAGTCAGAGGCTCAGAAATCCCATTTTAAACAGCTGCTGCCACTCTGATCCCAGCACTGAGTGCCCAACAGCCAGGGGCGGCCCTTATATAGCCACTAAAAATCTCAGCCCACGCCAAGCACAGCTTTAGCTGGCTAACACACTGCACCCTAACTGAGCGCAGGTGCTGCCTGTGACCCCAGGCTGCAGCCTCAGACCCTATCAGTACTCACCGTATATGCCTCCAAGATCAGGGCCTCATTGTGCTGCACATGGCCCGTACATCTCGTCAGAGATGGCGCTTTCCCCACAGAGCACAAGACAGACGCGGGATGGGAGGGAAAACTGAGGCCAAGGAAGGGGAAGTGATTTGCCCAAGGTCACCTAGCAGCTCAGTAGCAGAGCTGCAAATAGAACTCAGAGCTCCTGATACTTCATCCCATGCCCTGACCACACAGACGGGAGATGCCTGTCTCCATGAGAGTGACCCTTGAGGAGACAGTGTATGCTGGGCCGGATTTGTCAGTCTCATTAGCTGAGGGGGAGCTGCATTGCAGACAGCCTGGAAAGCACTAATCATCCAAACCACAAGCCACACAATCCCCGCACCTTCTGGATGTGACACAAGGTGATTTTCATTTTCCTGCCCAGCTGGACACACAATTACAGACTTTAAAGTTGCCACTCTCAAGCAAAAATCCCTTCTAAACCACATTGTCTCTGAGCTGGAATTCATATGCAAATTACAGACCGTGGGAATGGGGCTGACTAGGGACTGGGAACGGCTTGCTCATTCCGGTAAGTACTTTTCCAGGTTAGGAGTTCTCCCCCTCTTATCCCCATAGTGATAGAGATACAGCCGTGTTAGTCTGGTGTAGCTGTCTTTTGTTTCTTATCCCCATCCACCCTGATGGAATTCGCTCTGAGGTAATACTCCCCTCTCCCCACCCCATTACCAGTTCCTTTTCCTGTCACTGCATGCACCTGACGAAGTGAGCTGCAGTGCACAGAAGCTTCTGCCCTAATAAAACTGTTCATCTTGACGGTGCCACCGGACTCCTTGCCGTTTTTGCTGAAACAGACTCCCACGGCTCCCTCTCTGAAGCCTTCCTGGTTTGGTTTCACTGGCCGGGGTATCACCCTGCCCTAGTGCTGTATCACTCGGAGAATTTCCTCGGGACCTCATGTGCAAACTTGCTATGAGCTGGGAGACTGTTCCTCCCGGAGCCACTGGAACTGCCCCTGGAGTGGGGGGGTGAGAGTTCCCACGGTGCAACCCCCCTCCGCCGCGCCCAGCACCGCGCCGTCCGCTGCCCAGCGCAGTGCTGCACTTTGCTTGGGCTTGATCTGAATGAGCACACGAGTACAGTCTGCCTCATACACTGGGCTTCTGCAGTGGAGCCCAATTCCCACCAGAATAGTTCACTCTAATCAACTCTTGCCATCGTGCTGCATTATTAATGGCTGGCAGTGGAAAGCCGAGCCCTTCGCAGGCAGTGCTCCTAAGGGGCTGCTGGGAAGGGCTGCCAAGGGGACAATCAGAATTCAATCAGTTTCATTTACCGGACTCTGCTCCTTCCCTCAGTTCAACGCCAGAGGCACCCACATCTTGCTAGCTGGGTGCTCATGAAACTCAGCGTGAACAGATCTGCTGGCTGCTGGTGCTGCCCTCACCTGTGCAGCGCCCAGCGCCCGCTGCTCACCGCAGTGTGGACAAGAGAAATGACGTTTCTCAGGAAATACAAGGAACAGGGGGCAATATAAAGAGGGGGGAAGAGCCTGACAGGCCCTTGTCTCAGAGTCTGTAGCTCTCCTCCACGCTGCCTTTGCCTTCCAACCTCACTGTGTCTGTGGTGCAAATGCCAGGTGGTACATTTGCCAGCCTGCTCCCTGATCCGCCCCCCCGTCAGTGTGCTCGTCTGTGAAAGGGCACAATGCACCTCCACCTCCCTTGCATCCCAGCTCGAGGCTGCATGTGACCAGAGCGTGACTGGCAACTCCAGAGAGCACGGCTGTTTCTGAAAGAGCTTTGGGGGACATGCCCGTGTGTGGGTAATAAAGAGGAGCACACACTTGATCCACAGCCTCGCGCGCGTGATTCAGTATCTGAGGAGCTGTGTGTCTGCAACTTCCAGCTCGTAACTAGCTTTTCCAAGGCCCTTGCGCCTTTGTGCGGATGACGGGGGGAGCTGGCGCAGGACAGCTGCAGAAGGAAGCTGGCGGTCTTGGCTCCTCTCAGGAGCAGCAATGGCTTGCCGGGAGGGTGGAGAAGAGCTCCGTTGTCTTGGGAGCAGCAGGCTAGTGCTGGCAGAATTGCTTCTGAGGGATGGGCCACTAGCAGGCAGCCACTGACACATGCCAGACTGGCTTAGATTCCAGGAGCTCCACCGAGGTAGCTTAGCAAAGCGGAGGTTGAGGGCTGCCTTGAGTACAGCCTCCACCTATCTACCTGGGAAACAAGTATTTAATGAGGGGATCTTTAATCCCGCAGACAGCTCCAGGCTGGACACATGGCACATGGCTCTTACATCACCCCTTGGAACCACGCACCGAGGGTCACAGTGGAGTCTCCATTACAGGCGGTTTTAAAATCCAGAGCGGGTGCTTTCTGAGACCTCTGCTCTTGGGACAAATGGTCAATGCTCCCTGCTGGCCTTGGACTCTGAGTGAAGCTGTGTTTCTCACTGAAGCAGGAAGACGTCTGGTGCAGTCTGAGGAGATGTGTTGCAAATTAAGAGAGCCAGGGAGCTGGTGCAGAACTCCGAATGTTGTTCCTTCCAGCCCAGCTTGCTCTGCCAAAAATACACATTCTCTCCTGAGCATTGCTGGGTTTGTTGATAGGCTGCTTGTCCCTATGTACCAAGCTAAGCTCCAGGGAAGCTGGCTACAAACAGAGCTACTGGGATGTGTTTGCCAAATGCTCATACTCATTTGTAATGGCACCCAAATGATGCTTCTTTCAAGAACAGCCTTGAGCTAGCAGAGCTATGCAAGGCAAAAGAGCATGTCCCAGAGCCATCGCCTCCTGTGAGACCGGTGTCCCCAAGACTTGTCATCTGGCATACCGACAGGGCAGAGGATGCAGCTTTGTACCTGAACCATAAAACAATACTATCAGGAAATCACCAAATCTGAAGAGACAAGCTTAAACCGGGTGTGGACACAACAGCCACCTCATGGATCAGTAGTTCCTAGATGTAATTCTGAGACAGTGAGGGTTTCTGCTTCCTAACACCTACAGGGTGTTACAAGGAGAGAATATACTCCTTAACATCGGCTGATACACTTGGACTGAGGTGGAGATGGACGTACGAGACAGATGTGTTGAGAGTCTCTGGGCTAGGTTACCAGGGGTAAAAAACAAGAGTGATGTCATGGTAGGGGGTTTACTACAACCTCTAGCCAAGCAGAAGAGGTGGATGAAGATTTTTTTTAATCAACTAACAAAATCATCCAGAGCACAAGACTTGGTGGTGACAGGGGACTTCAGCTACCCAAATAAATAACACAGCATGGCACAAATTATCCAACGAACTCTTGGAATGTATTGGAGACAGGGATTTTTATTTCAGAAGGTGGAGAAATTCCTACTGCAGGAGGGACTGTGCTAGATTTGATTTTAACAAATAGGGAGGAACTGGTTGAGAATGTGACAATGAAAGCAGCTTGAATGAAAGTGATCGTGAAATTGTAGAGTTCATGATTCTTAGGAATGGTAGAAGGGAGAACAGCAAAATAAAGACAATGGATTTCAAGAAGGCGGACTTTAGCAATCTCAGGGAGCTGTACTGGGAAAGGTAATGAAGCAAATAATTAAGGAATCCATATGCAAATATCTGGATGATAATAAAGTGATGATAAAGTGATAAGTAATAGTCAGTGTGGATTTGTAAAAAACAAATCACGTCAAACCAATCTGATAGCTTTCTTTGATAGGATAACAAGACTTGTGGATAATAGGGAAACGGCAGACGTGATGTACCTAGACTTTAGTAAGGCATTTGATACAGTCTCACATGACCTTCTTATCAATAAACTAGGGAAATACAACATTGATGGGGCTACTATATGGTGGGTTCATAATTGGTTGGATAAGCTTTCTTAGAGAGTAAATAAACAAACAGGATGAAGTTTACTAAGGACAAATGCAAAGTGCTCCACTTAGGAAGGAGCAATCAGTTTCACACACACAGAATGGGAAGC